TCCCCCCAGCCCCCCACCCACAGCATCGGGGTGCTCCTCTTTGACCCCCCACCCACAGTATGGGGGTGCTCCCATTTGACCCCCCACCCGCGGTGTTGGGGCGCTCCCTGCCAGCCCCTCTGCCCGTGGAGGGGGGGGGGGTGGGGCTCTGTCTGTCTGTCTGTCCAGCGGCGGGGTTGGGAGCAAGGAGGGGTTTGTCCGTCTGTCTGTCCGTCCAAAGGGTGGGGAAGGTGAGGAGTCTGTCAGTCTGGAGGGAAGGGAGTCGGTCTGTCTGGGGGGGAGGGCAGCACAGGGGATCTGTGTGTTTGTTTGGGGGCGTGAGGCAGGTGTCCGTCTGTCTGTCTGTCCGGAGGGGAAGGTGGGGGGAGTTCTGTTTGTCCATCCACGGGGACAGTGAGGGGGCTCTGCCTGCTGTCTGTCCAAAGGGCAGCACGGGGGTCTGTCCGTCCTGGGGGGATACAAAAGTGGGGGGTGTCTCTCTGTCTGTCTGTCTGTCTGTCTGTCCGGGGTGGGGGCAGGGCAGCGCTCTCACCCTCCCGCCTCCCCAGCCTCTGCCACATGAGCGTCCCCCGGGATGAGCTCCAAGGCCAAGCGGGTGCTGCCCACCCGCCCTGAGCCCCCCAGCGTGGAGCAGATCCTGGCCGACGTGCAGGGCGCGCTCCCCACCGACCCCGTCTTCGTCCTCCCCGCCGAGCCCCCCCAGGACCACGGCCCCGCTCCAGGTGAGCCCGCACTGGGGAAAAGGGGGAAGGGGGCTTGGGGACCCCCTCCCCCAGCCCCGCTGAGCCCCAGCTCTGCCCTCCAGGCTGCCCCGAGCCCGCGGCCGAGGAGCTGTACCGGCAGATCCGCTCCTACGTGGGCATGAACCAGCGGCTGCAGAAATCCCGGGAGCAGCTGCGGGAGCGGCGCCGGGAGCTGCGGAGGGTCGGGGAGGAGCTGGATCGAGGGATCGCGGAGATGAGGCAGAAAGCGTTCTGAGGGATCGCGGTGGGCGCCCTCGGGACACCCCACGCCGTGGTTTCACATTCCCCAAATCCCTTTGCATCGGGAGGATCCGGGTTTACCAGGACTGTGGCACCCCATCCTTTTCCCAGGGAACACTGGGATCCGCCGGGCCAGCGCGGGGTCACCTTCCTGGTGCTGGAACAAAGCCTTGCACCCCTCCTTCTGCCCCTGAGCCGGCTGCCATGTCCTCCGAGGGTCACACGTCCTCTGCTCCCTACGACTTTTCCCTCTGGTACTTCCCCGAGGATGACCACGTCGCCTCCCGCATCGCGGAGCGCCTGAGGGAGGAGGGGTTTCGGGGCTTCACCGAGCACCAGGACCAAGTGGCCGGGACATCTGTCATCCTGACGGCCGTGGAGGCCATCCAGGCCAGCCGGGTGGCCATCCTGCTCCTCTCGGCCAAGTCCGTGGGTGACCGGTGGTGCCAGCGCGTGTCCCAGTGGAACCTGTTCCACAACATCCACCAGCGCGGCCCCAAGGTGGTCCCCGTGTGCGTGGGGGTGACCAAAGCCGAGGTGCCCCCGTTCCTGCAGCACCTCATCCCGCTGGAATACCAGAATGAATTCTTCTTCCAGCGGCTCCTGGCCAGCCTGAGGTCCCGCCCAGGGCGCGGGGCCAGGCGGGTCCCGCCCAAGGGGACGAACTGAGGGACCACCAGAGGGGCTGGGCCGGGGGTCAGCACGGCCCCAGGGTGTGAAAAACTGCTAATAAAGGTGGTGGGAATGGATCACTCTGCACTATGAGCTGTCATAAATCTCATAAATCCCCATTTTTGGTGCTGCTTTCTGTCTGCAAAGCCGAGCGCTGGGGGGGCCGTGGGCGTTTCCCACCCCCCACAGGTGTTACCTTGTGGGTGCTACTTCCCCTTCCTGTCCCCCTGAGCGGGATTTGTACCTCGCTGCTGTCCTGCTCTGCTGTCACACGCGACCTGGGGCTCCTCCAGCTCGGCAACAGCACCGGAGCAGGTGGGATGGGGGCGAGGGGCTGCCTGGAGCTGCTGCTGCTGCTGCTGCTGCCGCCCCTCCTTTGGGGTGAGCACCTGGACGGTGGGTCCGGCGTGGCCAGTGCGGGCTCGGAGTCACTGGCCGGGGCGGTGACAGATGCTGGTGGGGACGAGACCTTGCTCCAGCCGTCGATCATCGGGGGACACGAGGCCAAAGCGCACTCCCGGCCCTACATGGTGTCCCTCCAGGTCAGCGGGTGTCACAGCTGCGGGGCAGCGCTGGTGCACCGGCGCTGGGTGCTCACGGCCGCGCACTGCCTGCCTCAGGGGTGAGTCCGGCACGGCTGTGTCCTGCCCGGGGAAGGGACGGGGCTCCGGGTGTCCGGTACCGGGCTGACACCGCTCCCGGGCCGGGGCAGGTCGTTGCGCAAGGGGTTGCTGGTGGTGGGGCTGCACAACTGGCGGGATCGCGAGCCGGGCACGCAGCGTTTCCCCATCCGGGCTGCCTGTCCCCACCCCGGCTACGACAATACGACGATGGAGAACGACCTGCTCCTGCTCCAGGTGGGAATGTGGCGCGGGGAAGGCTCCGAGGCGGGGCCGGAGCGGCGGCGGGGCCGGGAAGCGCTGCCGGGAATGGGCGGGGGTTCTGTTCGCACTGTGCCGAGGCGAGCGGCTCGGTGACATTTCCGCTTCTCACCCCCAAGAGATTTCACACCTGGGTGTCATCCCCCCGCTCATGGGCGCTGCACGGGCTCGGTGCTTCCCTTCGACCCGTGGGCTCGTCCTCAGTCCCCCATCAGCGGTACTGGGGGCTCCCCTTTGACCCCCCACCGACAGCATCGGGATGCTCCCCTTGACCCCTCACCTGCGGTATTGGGGGGGTCCCCCCAGCCCCCCACCCACAGCATCGGGGTGCTCCCCTTTGACCCCCCACCCACAGTATGGGGGTGCTCCCATTTGACCCCCCACCCGCGGTGTTGGGGCGCTCCCTGCCAGCCCCTCTGCCCGTGGGGGGGGGGGGGGTCTGACGCCGCCCCCCGCCCGCAGCTGGACGGGAAGGTGACACCGAGCAAGACACGGAAGCTGATCTCGCTGGCGAGGAAGGAGCCGGCGCCGGGGACTCGGTGCAGCCTGGCGGGCTGGGGGGTCTGGCGGGGCCGGGAGCTGTCGCCCACCCTGCAGGAGATGGAGGTGACGGTGCTGGACAAGCGGATGTGCAACAACAGCCGCTTCTGGAAGGGCGGCATCGGCCCCGCCATGATTTGCTTCCAGGGGCTGCGCCGCGGCTCGGCACCTGACGAGGTGAGAGTTTGGGGGTCCAAGGGCTACAAAGCTCTGCCCACCCCGAGCGGGGTGCGGGGGGCTCCGGGGAGGATGCTCACCTGAGCTCCCCTGGCCATGCTGGGGGTCCCTGTCCCCTGGTCGGGATCCACTCCACGGTGTCACCCTCCCCCTCCCAGGGTGACTCGGGGAGTCCGCTGGTGTGCGGGAAGCGGCCGGCAGTGGCCGGCGTGATGTCCTTCAGTAGCAGGGACCCCACTGACCCTTTCAAGCCGCCGGTGGCCATCTCGATCGTGAAGTACAAGAAATGGATCCAGAAAACGCTGCAGAGGGGCTGCGCACCTTCCTATTTACACAGGTTGGCTTTTAATTGGGAATAGTGTCCAGAGTCTGGTAAAAGAACATCCTTAGTACATAGATACAGTGACGGCGAGCGGAGCCCGGCGGGATTGTCGGTGGAGAAGGGGGAGGGCGGTGGCTTGGACCCCGGGGGCGATGCTGGCCCTCCTGCCATCCCTGCGCTCCCTTACAGCACTCGGCAGTGCTGCTCCTGCGATTTTCCTCCTTTTCTTCAGTCCCGGCCTCTGGTCCCTCCGTGCCGGCCACTACCAGGGCAGGGGGGCTCCAGTGGGCACCGGGGTGGCCCCACGACCCCAGTGCACATCCCTGGGGACCCCCTGCGTATCCCCAAGATCCTGGTGTCTCCCTGGCCCCACTGTGTGTCCCCAGAGCCCCTCACTGTGTCCCCACAGCCACCCAGGTGTGTCCCCTGCACATGTCCCCATAGCCCTGTGTGTGTCCCTGTAGCCTCCCGTGGCACTGAGAGGGATGGGGGACACAAAGGTCACCCCATCCAAAGCATGATGTAGGACCGGGAGGCATCCGAGGGGTCTGGGACCACCTGGATTGGGGGTCCCTCTGCAGCCCATCCCACTCCCAGGGGCCGAGGCACTTCCCACACACCCAAATTTCGGCACCTGGGCCTGGCTGGCAGCAGGAGCGGGGTTGTCCTCAGGGTTTTGGGGCTGGGAGGCCCCGTGCTCGTGGGCGTAATCCAGTCCTGGATGGATTCGTGTCCACATCCACAAGGACACACCGGGATCCTGGCTGCGAGCCGAGGCTCTTCTGCCCTGGGGGTGGGAGGCTGGGGGGGCTGTGGGTGAAGGTGAGGGACCCCAGACCCTTTCCTGGGGGTTGGGCATCCCGGTGCCAGCTCAGCACCCTGTCCCTTTCCAGAGCAGCCCCCCAGCCTGGTGACAGCACCCTGTGAGCAGCCGCTGGGATGAGCCCGTCGGGACCCAGCCATCCCCACGATCCCTGCCCTGCTCCTCCTGCACCATTTCCGCCTGCCACCACCTCAGCAATCAGGACCCTCCAGCAGCACAAAGGGGGATCCTGGTCCCCATCTCCCCCTCCAAAGCTTCTCCCCTGCGTTCCTCATTAATAAAAGAGCTGCCATCGTTGGCAGAGCCAGAGTTGGTGCCAGACAAGCTGGAGCGTGTTGGGTTTTCCTGGTACTGGATGTGCTGTGTCAGCTCCCCGGCGTGTGGGATCAGCTGTGCCTCAACGCCTGGGTGAGCAGGATGGGGGCACATGGGGACACGGCCCCACCTCAGCTTGGATGTCCATCAGGGGCAGGACATGGTCCATGAGAACCGCCCCAGCTCGGGGTGTCACACCCAAAACGTTCCCAGTTCTGTCCAGTCCTTGCTGCTGGGAATTGTGATGCTCCAGCACAGAAGACCCCAGCCGAGGCCAGCAGCGGGTTGAGGTGACTCAGTGGTCCCCAGCTGTCCCACATCCCCATGTGTGTCCCCAAAACAGTCCTGGCCAGCTCCTGTGGGGCTGGGGTTGTCACAGGACCCTCACTGGGGCATCATCAAGCTTGGATTTTCTCCACCGCCTTGTCGGCCACCGCCGTCACCGCCATGGGGCTGGGCACGTAGTTGAAGGGGGTGACCCGGGCGGCCTTGCTGGGCGAGCCGTGCCGGCTGCCGGGGAAGGTCCCGGCGGGCGCCTCGTGGCCGAAGGAGATGGGCAGGGCGGCCTTGGCGGGCGCGGGGGCTTCACCATCGCCGGTGACTCGGGGGTGCGGGGGTCCCTCGCGGGTCTCCAGCGTGGGAGAGGTGCTGGAGTTTGTCTTGGAGGTGGCGAAGTCCTCGGTCTGCACCACGGCGTCGCTGGTTTTCCTGGGAGTTCCGGGGGTGCCGGGGGGCTCCTCCTCGTCGCCGGAGCCTGCCAGGGGCAGCGCGGAGGAGGGCAGCGTGCTCTTGAGGATGTGCGGGATGTCCTCGTCCCGGATCCTCCGCCACGTGCCCTTCATCACCACCACCGGCGGCTTTCCCGGCGGGCCCCCGGGAGCCGGCTCGTTCTGCCGCCGCCGCGCCGCCGCCTCGGAGCGCACGGAGGACGGGCTGGCCGCTCGCCTGGGCACGCTGATGTTGGGAGAGGATGAGTAGCGCTTGAAGGGCTCGGCCGCGGGCGCGCTGGTCTTCACCGGCAGCCGGGACGGGCTCTCGGAGCTGGTCCGGCGAGGCGGTTTGATCCCGGTCGCGGCTTTGCCGCCGGGCTGGGCTCTGGGGATGAGCGGCCGCTGGCCGGGGGTCGCAGCTTTGGCCGCCTTGAGCTCGTCGCAGCGGGAGGAGCAGAGGAACACGGCCGGGAGAGCGGCTCGGCTGCGCTGGGGGGAGCCCCGGCGAGGCAGCGAGGTGGCCGGCGGCGCCGGGGACAGGTCGGAGCGGTGCCGCAGCAGCAGGCTGGAGGATTCCTTGATGAAGGTGAGCTGGCGCAGGAAGCCGGAGCGGTCCGAGTCGCTCCCGCTCGAGCGGGCCGATGACATCCGCACCAGGTTGAGCCGGCTGCCTCCCGGGCCCCCGGGCCGAGCCTTGGAGCCATCGACCTGCTCCTCCAGCACCGGCATGGCCCCCCGGCCCGGCAGCACCTTCCTGCTGGGCTTCTGCATGAAGGGGATGCGCACGGGCGACTTCTGTGTCTTGGACTGCTTGGGAGCCGGGGATTTGGGGGCCGGGGCTCTGGCCGGGGGTCCCGGCGGGGAGGAGGAGCCGCTCGCCTTGCCCGCGGCCGGGCCGCCCTGTTTGGTGACCTGGGAGGGCGACGGCAGCTTCTTGGGGGCGTGCTGGGAGGGCGTGGAGGTGCGGGAGGAGCCCGAGGAGGGGGGGCCTTTGCCCATGCGGGCAGGCGGGGTCGTGCTCCTCTTGGGCAGCGCCAGCTCCCCAGTTTCGGGGGCTTTGCCCAGCCGGTGCAGGCTCCGAGAGCGCTGCTGGCTCAGAGAGAGGTTCTTGGCCGGCGGCGCCTCGGGCTTGGCCGCGGGGCTTTTCTTCGGGGTGGCCCGTGGGCTGGGGGCATCTTTGGCCAGGTTGGGCATGTAGATGACGGTCCTGCCGCGGAAGACCACGGGCAGGTTGGGCACCGGCTTGGCGGGCGCCGGGCTCCGCTCCGGCCTGGAGCTGGCCCGGCCGGCGGGACGGGCACCGGCCGCGTCCTTGCGCTCCGGGCGGCCCTTGCTGTGCTCCCTCCTCGCCGGCTCCCGGCCAGAAGCGCTGCCGGGCCGCTGCTTCTCCTGCTTGCCCAGCGACAGCTGCAGCGTGGAGCCCACCGAGAGCCCCGACATGAAGGACAGGATGGAGTCGGACTCGGAGGAAGGCTCCCGGGACAGCGAGGCCGCAGCCTGGTGCAGCCAGGTGACGATGGAGTTGGCTCCCTCCTGGATGGCTTGCCACTCCACGCTGTCCAGGTCGGAGCCCCGATCGGAGCCGGGGTCCTCCTCGGGGTTTTGATGCCTGGTTTCGGCTTTCCGTTCCCTCCCGCCGGCGCTCGGCGGCTTCTGCTTTCTCTCCACCAGCCTGCGGCGAGCCGCGGGCCGCCGGCGCTTGGGCATGGCCGAGCCGATGCACTTCTGCAGCAGATCATCCTCCGAGTTGAGGCTGGGAGAGCTGGGCGAGCCCCCCTGCGCCTGCCCCACTGCAGCTGACCTCGGCCAGGTGGCTTTGCCGCAGGGCTGGCCCCGCTCCTCGCCCTCGGAGAGGTTGGCGTCGCTCAGGGAGCTCATGGAGGAGCTCAGGGAGTAGCACGGCGGCGTCTCGTCGGCGATCAGGTTGTTTTGAGGCTTTGTCTTCGCCGGACGAGGACCGGGCTCGGGTTCCTTGTGGGGGACGGAGCCTCCCCAGCGCTCCCTCCGCGGTGCCCGGCCGGGCTGGGCTCTGCTGCCGGACCCGTCCCTGCCCGCCTCGGGCAGCTCGTCCAAATCCGGATCGTAGAAGCAGTAGACGGCTTCCTCCGTCGGCGTGGTGTGGCACAGCGACTGGAACACCACTCCATCGTCCAGAGCGTCATCCTTCCTCCCGGGGGCACCGCTGGCCCTGCCCACGCCCAGCTCCAGGCTGGCTGTGCCCTTCGGGAGGGTCTGGCCCCTCTTGCCATCCCCGCGGCCCGGCCCCGCTTTGCCTTTCCCGGTGGAGCTGAGGCGGGCGGGGGCCGAGCTGCCGGAGGCGGCTCTGCGGGCCGGGATGCTGCCGGGCTCTCGGCGCCGCTCGGCCACGGGGTGCTCGCCCTCCTCGCCCGCCGGGTACCGCAGGGTCTCGTCGCTCAGCGAGGCGGCGCTGGAGAAGTTGACGGGGGTCCCGTCGGCCGAGTCGGTGAAGGAGTCGTCGTCCTTGAAGAGGTCGCGGGCGGTGGCTCGCAGGTGCTTGGGGACGCCGGGGTGGGCGTGGGCCGGCACCAGCATGTACACCGGGACGTGCAGCGGCTTCTTGGTCTGCGGGTGCAGCACCTGGCCCGACAGCAGCGAGGTCTTGACCTTGCGGAAGCGGGAGGGCATGGCCGAGCTGATGCACTCCTTGAGGATCTCGATGTCGTCGTCGTCGGGGGGCTCGGGGCGCTCGGCCCTTCGCCGGCCCTCCAGGTACCGCTCCTCCCGCCGCTCCTCCCGCTTCTCGTGAGCCGCGAAGTTCAGGCTGTTCTTCTCCGGGAAGGTGGGAATCAGCTTGAGCTCCACGTCCTTCTGGACGTAGTGCTCGTGCAGGGGCAGGGCGCTCAGGCTGGAGGCGCACGAGAAGTTCTCGTTGGGTTTCTCCACAGTGAAGTAAACCATGGAGTCCAGGTCCTGGGGCAGCTGGAAGCGTTCCTTGAAGTCGGTGATCTCCATGAACTTCTTGACGTTGTTCTCCCACTGGATGTTGAACTGGCTCGTCTCCTTCTCCGGCTGGCAGCCCAGCTCGAAGAGGGGAGTCTTGCTGCGGCTGGGGGGCATGGTCTGCCCGGGGCTGTCGGGCAGCTCGCTGGGGCTGATGGTGCCGCTGATCATTTCGCTGCACGGGTCGCTCTGGATGGAGCTGGCGATGGAGGGGCTCTCGAAGCTGCCCAGGGAGCTGACGGAGCTGCAGCGGCTCATCACCAGCGGCGTCTCCTGGATGTAATTCTCCGAGGAGCTCGAGGGCGTCAGGTCCTCCTGGCGTGAGGGCGAGGCCTCCCGCAGGAAAATCTTGTCACGCTTCGGGAAGGGGATGGTGATGGGCTGGGAGATCCCCACTGGTGTGGTGGGACCCGGATCCACCACCTTGTCCTTCTCCTGCCTCCCATCCTCCCCTTCTGCGTCCCCTTCCTCCATCTCCAGGATCTCCAGGGAGGAGTCGCTATCCAGGTCGTTCTCGCTGTGGCTCTGCCCGTCCAGCACGTTGTCTGCCGAGGAGAGGGAGGACAGGGAGCTGCACCGGGAGAAGCAGATTGGGGTGTCCTCCACCGAGTACTTCTGCACCGACTCCTGCTCTGCCGAGGCCGGTGGCTGGGCTGGAAGCTTCTCCGGGATCTTGCTCAGGGGCTCGGCCGCCTGCAGCAGCGCCGGGGGGAGCCAGGCTTGCTTCCTGCCCAGCAGGGAGGGCTGGTGGCCAGCAGCTGTGCTGCTCTTGGCCAGGGCTTCAAGCATGGGGATGTGCTGGTAGGATGGAGAGAGCTTGATGGTGCGAACATGGGGGTCGGTGGGGGGTTTGGTGCCCACCTCCTTCTTCCATTCCATCTCCTTCTCCGGCACCTTGGGGCTGGGGAAAGTCACCACCTTCTTGGCCCGTTCGGGCAGGTCCCGCTGCTCAGGTTTGTCTGGCTCAGCTGGGTCCCGCGCAGGGGGCTCGGCCCTCTCCGGTTTGCCCAGGATACTCTTAAGGTCGAGCCGGCTGGGCCGCTTCTGGTAGCGCTGCAGCTCGTCACGATAGTCCAGGAAGGCGGCCCTGGGGCAGGGCTTCATGTGCTCCTTGGTGCAGTAGCCATCGCTGGTGCTGC